GAGACAGCAAATGAGCAGAAAGGATCTTTGGGGGCAATGAAATGTACTAAAATTGGATGTGGTAAATTCACAAAATTTTATCGTAAGTCAAATTTATTTGAAATCTCAGAGCTGTACACTTACAATATTATGATATGTAAATGATACCTCAATAAAGCTGTTAATGACTTGTTTTTAAAAGGAGGAAAAAAGGGTGCTCAGAGTCTAGTGGAGGAAGTTCTCAGGTATTTGCACTTCCCTGACCAGTTGTGCAGCCCTCAGAGATTATATCCAGCCCATGAATGCAAGTGACTTCTGAGCAAGATGCCCCCAGTATGAGCTCTGGTCAGAGAGACCCACCTGCCAGCTTGCTTCATGCAGGGATAGGGCAGAGTATGCCTAAGGCCCTGCCTCTGCAGACTGTCCTCAGAAAGTGCTCTGGTCATCTGGCACAGATAACTGCAGTCTGTGGCAACAAAAAAGTTCCTGATTTTGTGGGACCAGGTTTTGCTCAAACAGGCCAAGTCTAGGGGCACAGTGAAGGGTTCACAGGTAGCCACCAGGATGTCTCAGCCAGACTGTAACCAGGGGGCTGCATCTTGTCTCCGGCTTCAAGAAACACTGACCATTAGCCCTGCTGAGTTCCGAGGTCACTGGAGCAAGGAACCCAGTCATTCCAGGGTCCCTGGGCGTCTTCACACTGAGTTGAGTAATGGTGCTGCTGGGGCAATTTCAATGACTTTGCTCTTGCCTCAATCAACACCAGGCTGAAGGAGGTCCCAACACGGTCTGAATGGAGAAGTGGGCCTAGGTAGCCCTTTTCTGCCCAGACAGGCTGTACCCACATGAGGCCAGAGTCTGGAGGGGAACTCTGAGCACTCAGCCAACACACTCCCAAATGCCAGAGCTGGGCAGCAGGGATACAACCCTTATCACTTCAAAGGCACATGACCACCTAGAAGCAAAACCAATTAACAGCGGGTGGTAGGATCCCAGGGCCTGGTCACTCAGCTACCCCCAGCCCTGCTCCTAAGGAACTAAGTTTGAAAACCACTTGCTATAATTTAGATGCTGTTTGTCCCTCAAAGGTTCATGTGTTAGAGGCTTGGTCCCACTTAGGCAGTGGAGGGGTGGTGTGGAACCTTTAGGAGTGGAGCCTAGGGGGAGGTCTTTAGGTAAATTGGGGGCATGCCCTTAGAAGGGACTATGGGACCATTTGCCCTCTCTCACTGGATGCGGGTAGCCTAACCTTGTGATCCCAGTGATTTGGGAGGCTGAGGCAGGAGGATTATTTCAAGGCCAGCCTGGATAACTTTAGTGAGATCATGCGTTTAAAAAAAAAAAAAAGACTGGGTATGAAGCTCAGTGATAAAGTGTCCCCAGGGTTTAATCCCCAGTACCAAAAAAAAAAAAAAAAAGAGAGAGAGAGAGAGAGAGATGTGAGAGATGTGATCTCTTCCTCCTGCACACATTCCTATCACTTCTGTTCACCATGAAGTAGGGAGCCCTTGCCAGAACCCGAACCATGTTGTTTAGACCCCCTCAGCATCTAAAATGAAAGTTTTAGCTAAATGAACCTTTCTTTATAAAAAGTTAGCTTGCTTCACGAATTTCACTATAAATGAAAAACAGATTAACGGACCACCTACCTATGAACCTCTCCATTAAAGATGGAAGAACTGAAGCTCTGGGATGGGCAGGGCCTTCCCAACGAGGGCAAGGATGCTTGGAACAGAGCCAGGTTGGATTCCTCTTTTCCTTGTACCCATCAGCTAGGTCTGGTCAAATGTTACTCTCTCCAAAGATGGGGTCAGTGTTGGGAAAAGTATAAATGGCAGCCATACCCCAGAGAAAAAACCCCAACATGGCGCCTAAGCACCTTTTCTTCCTACCTTCTTCTTTTCTGCAGTGGCGCGAAAAGTTCCCGCCCGTGTGAACTCTCCCGCCGGCGCCAATTTCAAACCTCGCTGGCGGGGAACCTTAGCCCCAATGAGAACTAATTCCTGGGCTCCGGAGCTGATATCTGAAAGAACTTGCCAATAAACGGGTTGCCTGCCATTTATCTAAACCCTACCATCTCCCCCTTAGTTCTATATAAGCACACTGCTTTTTGCAATAAAATTGGAATTCTTCCGGCGAAGTGTCTTTGCGTGGGGAATTCTTTCAGTCAGAAGTCCTGCCTCCCTTCAATTAGCTAGAATGACAGGAGTGTGCCACCATGCCTGGCTTGGGGTTTCCTTTTTCAAAAGCTTGGAGAAATTGGACCAGTTTCCTCAGCATGCAGAGAGAGAAATGATCCCAGAGATGGCCACTGTAAGCACTGCCTCAACAAAAAGTCCTCTGTGAAGGCTCTGTCCCTCCACCTCCAGGCCTGGCTCCTAACACAGAGGCCAGTGTCCTCACTTCCTGGGGTGTGGTGAGGTCCCTTGCACATGGGGTTGGCAATGGCACAGGAGTGACAAAACTGTCGAGAAATCAGGACTCCCTCCAAGAAATCATGACTCCCAAAACCAAGAAACTGGGTCCTCAGTAACAGAACATCTGAATCCAGCCCCACTGGGTAACCAGCAAAGATTGTACCAAAGTCCTGTTTTACTTGCAAATTCCCCCAGAAAAAAAGGGAACACCCTGAGAGAGTGGTCAATTAAGCTGAGACTGAAGTCCAGACTAGGCCAGGACCTCGGAACTGAGCCTTTGCTTGAGGGAATTCACCCACTGTAGTGAGGGAACAGCAGGCCTCAAAATAAAATTGGGAAACCTGAGCTCTGCCAGTGTCTCAAGCCTTCCTTGAATATTTTTTGAACGCTATCTATCCCCCCACCCCCCACCCCCGCCCTCTGCATACACCTTTCAAAATCTCTCTTGTGACAGAGGTTGCATAGCAATGTTACTTCCTTCTGGAAAATAAGCTTTCTCTAAGTAAGTAATTCTTCCCTTTTTTTGGTTCTGGGGATTGAGCTACATCCCCAGTCTTTTTTCATTTTGAGGCAGGGTCTCTCTAAGGTGCTTAGGGCCTCACTAAATTGCTGAGGCTAGCCTCAAACTTATGATCCTCTTGCTTCAGCCTCCCTAGTTGAAGTCTTTCTTGCATCTTTCACTACACATACACACACACACACACAAACATACACCACACGCGGCACTTACACACACAGCTATTACAGGTTTAATTTTTTTTTTTTTTTTTTTGCAAATGGATACTTTCTGAGTTCAGTTGAATTCCTCCCTCAGGCTACAATGTAAACATGGGTTAACTCTTAGTAGCCACATAAAGTATCTTTTCCTGGTAGAAACTACATGATAAAGACCAAGTCCTACTGACAACTCTGTTTTGAGAGCCCCCTACAGTTTTGCTATTTCATTTCTTTCCAAATACTTTTAAAGCTAATATTGCCATGACTGCACCTCACTTTCCCCTTTCCTATTTCCCTCCATTCTCCAGGTTGATCTGCCCACATGCCCAACAGGACTTCCTGTGATGTGAATTCCATACCAGATAGTACTCAACAGCTACCAGGCAAGTCACTTAATACACTAGCCTCGGTGTCCTAGTCTATAAAATGTGAACATAACACAATCTGAGTTTTTCTCAGAATACAGTAAAGGATGCCAGAATCCTGGGCAGGCATGTCTTATTTAGTCACATAAGATGCTCGGATGTGGAACACAAGTTATCGGATGCCTACAGTGTCTCTCCTTCTAGTGTCTCTCTCAGACCCTATGAAATGGCCAAGGAAGCAGATTCAGTACTACAGCACAAGTGACAAAGGTGTGCGAACACACCATGCACTGGAAAGTACTGGGTGCCACTGGAAGTAAGACATAAGGGCAGAACTGATATAAACCGGGGAGAGATAATAGGTCCAAAGTATGCACAGGAGCAGGGTGAAGGGAAATGGTTTGCAAGAGTTCCAGAATCTTCTGAGAAGGTACAAATGGAGAGCACATACCAAACCCGGGCTTTTTTTTTTTTTTTGGGGGGGGATCCCCAATTCAAGACATCTACTTAATAATATGTCCTATATGAAACTGGCCAGAAACCTGAATCTTTTTGTTCTAAACACAGGTTTGGTTGGAAGATCCTTAGAAATCACTCCTTACCCAGCCCCTCAAATCATTTCATTACCCAGCACTTTGCTGTTTCAGTAGTTTTATATTTGGCCCCAAGAGGAGCACCAGAATCCTTGAAACCACCCAGTGTGGAGGCATTAGTACCCAGGACTTCATTCCCCCTGCCGGGACCCTGGAACTCTTTCATTTAGTCTTCCAAATACTCCCCTTTCTTTCCACTAAGGCTAGGTTCTGCGACCACGTGCCACCTCCCTGCCCCCACCATGGCCTTCCCAGCAGTTCCTGATCCAAATTAGGACCCCAACCCATGGGTGATAGGAACGTGAGGCAATGATAAAGAGGATGGGGAAGTGTCGTTTGAAGTGCTGAGAAGGACAGGACGGGAGTCTCCCGCAAGATAGTGAGTTAAAACAGTAGTTCCCGAATTGGACAGCTTGGACTCAAATTCCAGCTCTGGCTGTGCGCGACCCTGGAGAACTCGGAGCCTCAGTTTCCCCATCCGCCAGGCGGAATGTTACCAGCGGCTCGTGGACGGGCTAAGAAGGCCGCGCCAGCAGCACCGGACCCGGAGAGCAATAATGGTGGCCTTCCCGCTCTGGCCGCAGAGGGAGGCCTCGCCAATCACGCGTCCCCACCCCGAGCCACCGTGCAGAGAGGGAAACGCAGTTTGAGGTTGCACACTGGCCTGCGGCGCTCCAGGGACCGAGGCCCACGCGGCCGAGCCGGTAGCTGGGCCGCGAGTGCGCGGAGCAGCGGAAGGCGCCAGCGCCCGGAGCCCCGCGAGGCGCACGCCTCCGCCATCTGACAACGCCCCTGCCGGCTCCCTCAAGGTGGCAGAGTGCAGCGCGACACGGAACCGGCGAGGCCTTAGGAACGGCTTCCCCGCCTAGTCTGAGCCCCGGCGCGCCGGGCGCCCCTCCCCGGGCCCGCGCCCAGCGCTCGGCGCTCACCCGGAGCCCGCGGCAGTGGTGGCTTGGATGGAGCTGATGCGCAGGCGGTTGGCCGTGTCCTTCAGGGCCTGCAGCTTCTGCTGGTCAGGCTTGTGGTAGCCTTCCATGGCGTGGCCGGGAGAAGGACAAGGAGCCGAGGACAGAGACCCAGAGAAAGCCGCTCAGGCAGCAGTGACTGGCAGCGGCCGAGGCCCGGCGCCGCGCGAGGGCGCGTTAAGACTCCCTAGGACCCGCCCATGGGGCGGGGCGGGTGCTGATCACCCGAGGCGGACGGGCGACGCCGGCCCCGCCCCCGGCCTTCCCCCACCTTTTCTGGGCACCTACTGGCTGCTGGGCCCTGGGTGACAGGCTGAGCTTCTCTGCTGGACTTATCCGCACCCACGCTAATACCGCCGCCACCAGCAGCACCATTCCAGGTTCTAGGTTTGGCTCAGAGTTTGGCTATTTGACTCGCAAAGCGCTTTCTTTCCTCCAGTCTTGGGTGGAGAGAGGAGGTAATCATTGGCAATCCCACTTTACAGATGAGCTAATTGAGACATGGCAAGGTCAATCAAGATCACAGGTCTGGTGGGTGTCAGGCTCTGCCCCAGCAGATCAGCCTCAGCTCTAAGAAAGACCCAGGCCTTATTTGGAGCATGAGAAGATACTAGAAGTAGTACTGAAAATACTGGCTAATGGTAACTGAGAAATTACTAGGGGCACGTTTTTCACAGATTATTAAGATCTAGAAACACAGCTGACTCTTAAAGAGATTACTAGGTTTGCCTGCAAGGCTGTAGGGACAGAAGTACCCACCTTTGCTGTTACCAGATCTTATAGTCCCTAGAGGGATGAAGACCCCAAGAGTAGGGGTGTCTACAGATGCTGTCTCATGGAAACCACATACTCCATTTTACCAAAGATAAGACCCTCGAAAGGGTGACTGAGCAGAGGGCTGAAACTCTGAGACAAGAGAGGCATCAGTGCCAGCCCAGCCTGGGGACCCCCAGTGTTTTCTGCATAGCCCATACCTAGAGCCCTGGTCATGAGATAATGGCCAGCCCTCACCTAGATGTTCCTCACCACACCCCCCAATGCCCAATTAGACACCAAGTGTGGTATCCCATAGCAATTAGCTCCTGCTGGTCCAGCCCAAAAAGGCTGGCCCCATGACATCTGGTTAGCAAGGATTGTGGGCTTGGATTGAAGTGATGTGGCTCCTAGGCATGCCACCCTGACAGTCCTGACAGGTGCTACCTCTGCCCTTAGATAGTGCATGACTGGTAAAAAAGGCTAATTCTGAAATATTTTGAAAGCTCTGTGCTTCCAACTCTGTGGCTCCTTATTTCGAACCTCAATTTCCCCATCTACCTACCTAATGGGACTATTCCTGGCCTCTCTGCACCTACCCTAGTCTCGGATGAGGGTACAGGATTCATTGTGGCGCTGGGGACAGAGTAATGATGGAAAGAAAAATGATTCTACCCCACCATGGGACTCTGGAACCCGGAGGAGGGCTTCCTCTCATCCTGAGGTTCCACAAAAATGGGGCCCACCCACTTCATCCTGGATCTCAGCCGTATTTTATGGTTCTTAAACCTCCCTAAAGTCAGTTTGGGAACCAACACTCTGTTTGTCCACAGCAGTTCCACTGTGCCTGGGTCCTGGGTCTTTAATCAGACACGCACACCTTTTAAATCACATGACACTTGAAAGGCCAACCTTGGATCCTGCCTGATTTCCTGCTGCCATCTTGCTCTGCTCCCCTCACACCCTCAGCCTTTTTCAGCTTTCACTTCTCCCATTCACTTTCTCTATGGTCTTCAGAGAAAACTCCTGGTTTCCCCCAACTTATACTCCCATCAATCCTCCTCCACTTTTGAAATAAAATTCAGCCCCTGCCCCCCACCCCAGCCTCTCCTATTTTCCTGTTCTCGTGCCCTCCACCCCATCCATTCCAGCTCACTAGTCTTCTTCCTTTCCTTAAAAAACATCAAGTTCACGTTGACTACAGTGATGCATAGCTGTAACCCCAGCAATTTAGAAGGCTGAGGCAGGAGGATCACAAATTCGAGACCAGCCTCAGCAACTTAGTGAGACCTGCCTCAAAATTAAAAAAAGAAAAATAAAAAGGAAGGAAAAGGACCAAGGACACAGTTCAGTGGTAAAACATCCCTGGATTCAAAAACCACCAAGCTTGCTGGACACAGTAAACCCAGCAGCTTGCGAAGCTGAGGCAGGAGGATTTGTAAGTTCAAAGCCAGCTTCAGCAACTGAGCATGTCCCTAAGCAACTTAGCAAGATCCTGTCTCTAAATAAAATGTTTTTTTAAAGGGCTGGGGGTGTGGTTCAGTGGTTAAGCCCCCACCCCCCTTCAATTCCCAGTACCAAAAAATAAAACAACAACAACAACAAAATTAACCCCTCTCTCCCTCCCAGAAGTTTCACATCTGTTGTTCCCTGAGCCAGTAAAGTTCTTCTCTCAGCTTGTATGTTGCCAGGATCTAGAGCAGCATCTCTATCTCCTTATGTGACCGGAGACTCTGCTGGATTCTCCTTCAAACTGCATCATCATCGTTGTTGTTGTTGTTATTATTATTATTATTGGAATTGGGGGTCAGAACACTTAACCACTGAGTACATCCCCAGCCCTTTATTTTTATTTTTATTTATTTATTTTTTAATTTTGAAGCTGGGTCTAAGTTGCTTAAGACCTCACTAAGTTGCTGAAGCTATCCTCAAACTTGTGATCCTCCTATCTCAGCCTCCCAAGTTGCTGGGATTGTAGGCATGCACCACTGAGCCCAGCTCCACAGGCATTATCAGCTCCAGGAGATCCAGGGTGAGATCTCTTGTCCCTGGCTCTATCCTCAGGGATGAGAATTGTCATTCACACATAGCAGGCACTCAATAAATGCATGTAAAGTGAAAGTATGACTATAAAATGATAAGCCTGAAGTCATGCAGCCAGCAAGTGTCAGATCTGTACCCAGGGATAGAAGGCATCAGAGAGACCTCAAGGGAGGGAATCTGTCTGCTCTAACTGGTGCCCTCCATTCTGGCCTTTTAAAAAGTTGAGACACAAAGGTGCTCTGTTGGAGGATAGGAAGTGGCACAGACATCCTGATGTCAGCATCAGGTGACAACAAAAGCCACAGCAACCTGAAAGCAGAGATAGATGCTGAAGTCTGAGCTGTCCCACAGGACCCATGAAGTGCCTGGGGCAAAGAGCACCCTCCAGGAGCCAGGAAGGTGCAATGAACTCTGTGAGAGTCCCCCACAGCTGGCTCCCTAGGACCTCTTGGATCACCAATACATACTTGAGCTGAGCATGGTGGCACATGACTATAATCCCAGTGGCTGGGGAGGCTGAGGCAGGAGGATCTCAAGTTCAAGGCCAGCCTCAGCAATTTAACGAGGCCCTAAGCAACTCAGTGAGAACCTGTCTCTAAATTAAATATTATATATATATATATATATATTACACACACATACACACACACACAAACACACGCCTGAGAGGAAAATAGGAGTGAGGGGTGGCATGTAGCTGAGCGTTGCCACCGAGTTGGTTATTGGCAGGAGATTGGCTTTGGGCACTAGACAGTGCTGACTAAAGCCTGCTGGGGTGGAATGTGGAACAGGAGGATTCTGAGCATGCCTCAGCAGGAAATTCCAGGACCATTTAGCCAGGCTGGGCAGGGGTGAGTGGGATGGGAGAAGGGCCATGCAGGTGCATGGATGCCACTTCTGGGGGAACCTATGGGGACCTGAAAGGGCTGCACTTGGGCTAGGAGTGAGGAAGCCCAGGTTTTAGGATTGTCACACACACACACACACATACACACATACACTCATATTCTCAGACACAAACATGGGCACTTCCTTGCACATCCTCACACTCAGTCTCGTGTTCTCCTGTGCACACCCAAGGCATTCACTCTCATTCACACTTGCTCACACTCACCCTCTTTCACACTGGCACACATGCCCAGATCCCTCTCCTGTTGCGCCCTGTCTCGCCCTGCCCTGGACATCGCTGGTGGCATCATCACAGCACCTTTTTGGCCCTCCTCAGAGTCCACAGACCTTGGCAAAGGCTCAGGGAAGAGTCAAGGCCCAGTTCTTTCTGCTGTCAGCCCCAGGGCTGGCACACCCTAAGACATGAAGGCCCAGGCTCTTGCAGCAAAAGCCTCCGCACAATCTGGACACTATGGTTATAATCCCAGTCGCTCAGGAGGCTGAGGCAGGAGGATCGTGAGTTCAAAGCCAGCCTCAGCAACTTGGTGAGGCCCCAAGCAACTCAGCGAGACGTCTCTAAATCAAATATAAAAAGGGCTGAGGATGCAGCTCAGGGGTTAAGCACCCCTGGGATCAATCCCTGGTGCCAAACAAAACAAACAAACAAACAAACAAAAAAATCATGCAGATCTTTGGATACCGCATCAAACTTCCTGAATTAGCCTCTGTCATGGGGCCTAGGACTCAGCATTGTTAATAGGACTCTCTCTTGTGTTGGGGTTCTGGGAACTCTCCAGCGAAAATTGCAGGCCAATCTGCTATGACTTTGGTTTCTGGAGCTGGGCAGCTTTAGGTTCAGTGCTTTCCCAAAGGACTGATTAATTCTTAAAGACCATATCACTCAATTCTGGGATGGCTATGAAACTTTTTTTTTTTTTTTTTAACCAGGGATTGAACTCAGGGACACTTGACCACTGAGCCACATCCCAGCCCTATTTTGTATTTTATTTAGAGACAGGGTCTCACTGAGTTGTGTAGCACCTTGCTAAATTGCTGAGGCTGGCTTTGAACTCATAATCCTCTTGCCTCTGCCTCTGGAGCTGCTGGTATTACAGATGTGTGCCACCGTGTCCAGCTGGTGATACATTGTTAAGGGAGTGAAAGTGAGAGACAGAACAGGAGGTAGAGCCTTTTTATCAAGAAAAAATAAAAGCCCAGCCTGGTGGCACATGCCTGTAGTCCCAGTGACACAGGAGGCTGAGGCAGGAGGATTGCAAGTTTGAGGTCAGCCGTGGCAACCTAGCGAGACCTTGTCTTGGGACAAAAATTAAAATAAAATAAAGTAAAATAAATAGGGTTTGGGGTGTAGCTCAGTGGTAGAGGATCCCTGGGTTTAATTCCCCAGTACCACCAAAAATAAAAATAAATAAATAAAAGCACGTGTGTACATTTATGCACTTGGGTATCGTTTATATGGTCGAAGCAAAAAGTCTACAAAGATAGTTTCCAAGCTAAGGTGGACTTGGGAGGG